AATCGCCCGCCCCGAGGCCGAGCGCCGCCGAGCGCCGCCACACGCGCCGTGCGCGGTGCGGGGAGTGCGAAAGAGACCTCCGAGAGCCGTAAGTACACAGCGCGCCCCAGTGTGAGCGGGGCGCGGGCGTGGCCTCCTGAGCGTGGCACGTCCCGTATGAGGTTCGGGGGGAGAAGATTGGCGTGGCGTGGCGTGGCGTGGCGTGGCGAGGCGCGCCCAGCTCTTCACCCGCCGTCATCAGCGTTACCACACAGCCCGTGGAGTATGGGGCCCCGTCCCCATCCTTTGGTGTACGCTCGAAAACAACCGGTACCTGTTTTGCTTACAGCCGGGAGGACGCAAATAGTAGTGCGAATAGCAAACAATCTTCGAAAACAGCACCCCTGAAGGTGGCGTTCACCCACACCACCACCTTGGCCTAGTCCTCAAAGTCATCAAGTTTAAGACGTCTTCAGTTGACGGTTGCGCCGCAAAATCTCTTTCCTCCTTCTTGGGAGATGGGGGAGAATCGAACAAGTGTAACTTCGGAGAGGTGCCCCCTCCCTCCCTTCCGCTACGGACTCGGGAGAAGGAAGTAGTCTTCGAGAGCAACTCCAGCAACGGTCTACTACTCCACCAGTGAGGCAAACGAAGCAACAACTTCCGCCTACGCGCAGACAGCACGCTGAACTGCTTTCCACAGGGAGAGCGAAAGCGAGAGAGGTCGGATAAAAATAATAATGAAATAATATCACCAGGTAACTAGGCCTGCGCCTGCCCCCGGCACCGGACCCGCCGGCGAGGGGCACATCCGGCTGCTTGTAATGAAAGAGAAGCGTCACTTGTAAAAGACCGGCAAAAGGTCAAGCAGCTCTGACGGCTTCTTTTATTTTTCTGATCCCCCCTCCTCCCCCATCCCCCTTTTCCATTCCCTCTTTCTCTTCATATTATGTCCCCAGCTCTCGGCCGGCGGTGCCCCCATATTTTTCTTTTTTTCCATTTTTCTCCGTTAAAGTGTATTTTTTTTACTACCGTCGTCTGCTCCCCGGTGCTGGCGCTTGCCGAGGCAAAGTAGTACGACAAATTCCGAATGTATATCGTTACTCCAGACCGCCTTTAGCTCCTCTCCGTCCCTTCGCCCTTCTTC